AACAGCTGATCGGCAGAGTGGGGCAGCCATTTAAATTTAAATGAAGCCGCGATTATTTTAATCGCGGCTTCATTTCCCTGTTCCGATCTGGCTAATCTAAATGCCTCCGTCGAAGGCGGCATGTAGTCTAGACACACCCATAGAGTGCTGTGAGAGCTCCCTCCAGCACTTCTGGTGTAGCTGTGCTTAATTTTAGAAGTGTAGACAAAGCCTATGTTTACATGAAGGGGCTCTGCTAATAGAGCTCTACTGGCAAAACACTTGTAGGGTAGGCAAGACCACATCTTACATAACGCACGTCATTTTGTATCCCTGGCAGATTTTTCCCACGTCCCAGGTAGCTAGTTCAGAGTGCTACAGAACCCTCAGAGCAAAAAAGGCAACCAACACAAATACAGGCAAGCAGCGAGATTTTACCAGGGTGGGTGCTCGGCATCCACTGGCAGCCCCATAGATCAGCTTCTCCCCTTTCCCCATAGCCGTACTGCTTGCTGGTGGGCCCTGGTAACCAGCTCCTTCCCCTCTACTCCCAGTGCCTCCTGCCTGCTACTGATCAGCTGTTCAGAAGCATTCAGGAGGCACTGGGGGGACAGAGGAGCAGAGATGGGGGGGAACTTGGGGGAAGAGTGGAGTGCGGGGAGGGGCCTGAGGTGGAGCAGGGAGTGCCTCCCAGGAACTGGGGAAATCTGCACCTTTGCAATCAGGCTCCACTGCTCACAGAAGTTAGCAGTGTCATCTCTAGCAATAAACCGCTCCTGTTTGCTCGACACCTGTCACTGGTGACCAATTCCCTGGGCTCCTGCCAGGCCATTTATATCCACTACAGATTCCTCAAAGATATGGTGTCTTAAAGAGACAGTCTGTTTTTCATTTGCACTTTTTTCACTATATAATAACAAAAGAAACATACTTACTTTAGGTAGAAACCACACTAGATGGAGTGTAGATCACTTTCTGTGGGTGGAGATTAGAGGTAAAAAATAAATAATATCAATGGAATATTTCTTTGAGCAGTTTTGTGCTATGACTGCATTTGTCCATGTTTAATTGAGATAAATGCACTTCAAAATTCAGTCTTCTATTAATGCAGTCCAGGAAACACCCCTACTCATCTAGCCCCATGCTACATACATTTGGTCTCTTTATGCTACTACTATCCCTTGAACTGTCTATCTTCCTGTACCTGGATGCCTTCCTAGAGTTCCTGTCCAAGTTGGGACTCTGGGCAGGAAGAAAAGACCTTGGAAGGTGTTTGTCTCTTGCTCCCATATCTGGTGAAACCCTCTTGAGAAAAGTATTTAATGCATTTCCTTGTGTCCCTGTGGGAGCAGCTCTGTGTCTTGGGCTTGAGAAGTGTTCCTGAGGTTCCTTGCTAAAATGGTTGCTTCTAACCTGGAGAGAGAAACTCTGCGACACTGTTGCTCTATATCCTGCGCAATTTTCCTCAGCTGCCCACCTGGCATGATTTATATTGAGACATTGGGAAATGGTGCCTTCCTCCTATATTGCACCTTCTCCTGAGGGAGAACAGCTGGGATTGTTAGAGCCCTGGGTGCAGACCATGGTGCTGAGGGGACTTGACTCTATTAGGTTTTGTACACCCATCCTGATCCATGTGAGATAGGGCACACTTTATACATTGCAAATAAGCCAATAGCTTTGCTTTCCTGGGAGGAGGGGAAGCGTGCGTGGAAGTCTGTGTTTGGGGGAGGAGTAGACATAAGGAGAAAAGGGGCATAATTTCAAATGGGGGGGGTGGAAGATGAGTATCTGATGGTGTATTTTTGGTGGGAAAGGTGGGGAGGCTGTAGCTGGGGAGGGGAAGGTGGAAGTGTATGGGTCTGTGTGGGTGTGTACATTGTAAGGTTACCCGGTAGCTTTATTTCAAATTATTAGTGAAATAAAACACAGTTACTTTTGACAATGTATAGTTTTTATTTGTGGTTTCTAATCCAACTTCCTACTATATTGGCACACATTCTCCACAAGTATCAGAATAAACAACCTCTTTGGTTTCTATCTTGCTGGACTGGGAATTCCCTTCAATGAAGAACAGTTTCTATTGGCAATACACCTGAAATCCTGAGCTGTGCTGTTAGAGACGGGGAAGGAGGTCTGGGGAGGTGTCTGTGCAGCTGGCAGGCAAAGCAAAGGAGAAAGGTAGGTGGGAGCAGAGCCAGGAGACCCGGGAATGCGATCTGGCCTGAGGATGTTGTCTGGCTCCATTAACAATGTCAGCATTTTTCCCCACTGAGGCTGGTTCTATATAACCAGCTCATCTGTAACCTGCATGGGTTTGGAGCAGTCAGGTGGGACCAGTCCATCTCTGCCCCCATTCTTTTTGCACAGAACATTCCTTTAATTTTCTACAAGTAGATAAGTTCTTGCCATCAGTTCAGATATAGCATGGCCTACAGAGCAAATTTTACATGATCATGGGGCTGTCTCCAGATCCTTCTTGAGTGAATAGTGAGGAGCTGAAACTGGAGGTGATTATTTGGATGGAAGGCCTAGGATCCATCCCCCTCTCCAGTTCTGGGCAATAGAGCTGTGACTCAGCAACTTTCACTTCTATAATGGCTCAGAGGGTATTTAGGAGTATTCCCTAATCTTTCCAACCAGGCACATGCATGAGGCCTTGCTTATTCCACACTCTAATTAATTGTGTGTGGGGGGGGGGGAGGGGGGATTTTTAAATCAGCATAATTTCCTT